AAAAAAGTCAGTGACAATGACTGGTTGCATCATCCTGATGAGCTGTTATTTTTGTATTCAGAATTCCTCTGAGAAAAGTGTGTGCCGTGTGCCTAATACTTCCACACGTGATGTAACCCTACCGTTGTTTTAAATAAAACATTAAGATGATTGTTTCACTTAAAAACAAGAGCCATGATGAAAATGTGAGCACAAGCTGAGCATTCTTAATCCAAAAATCCAGCATCCAACATGCTCCCAACTTGCGATGTTTCAAGGACTGGGAGTGAAGTTAGGTAAAAGCATAGGTGGCAGTTTAGTTTGGGAGCCCCCATTCAGTTATTCACAAACCCTTGGGAAATGTCCTTGGCAGCCTGGTTCCTTCCTTGCATGTACTTTGCACACACAACATCACCTCAAGCAATGACCTAGCAACCTCAAAAGCACTCGGCCCCCAACTTGCAGGGGTTAACATGCTCTCCATCTCTGAGACAATGGTATACTTTTCCATCCCCTAGGAACAATCACATTTACAATTTCTAGTCGAGCGTATCTGCAGTTTACCAGGTCCGACGGTTTAGCAGATCCAGTCTGGTTTGGCCCGGTTTTGGGTGCACACACAGAAAGAAAAACTGCATCCTCTTGTAACCTTTCGGGAGAATCTATTTACCATCTGATGCCTATGCATAATTGGGTGTGCACAGGATTAAAATCAGGTGCATTACAGGGAAGGGCATGCATAATAGAGAAATGGTCATGTCGCCACCCACCATCCAACATAAGGAGCTCTCTAACTGTACCCACAGTGGACCAGGCCACTCTTCCCCAGGCTGGAGCCCGGGCCTGAGGGTCTTTACTCTTGTGCTGTCAAGTATTGTCTTTAATCTGTACTATGGCTTTGTTCCAAATAAAATCAGAGTGCTTCTTCTGCAAATGTGTGTATACCATTATTTTCAACTCTTTGGAGGAGAGGCCAAGAACCTGGAAACACCGGGCCAAAACTCGGAAAATTCCATACTTGTCTTCATGCCATGGGTTAAAGTCAATACAGAGGCACTCTAAGGCGCTCAGTGGCTAAGAAAATGTAATGCTCCTGCAAAGGACCCAGGTTCAGTTCCCAGTATTCACACAGAGGCTCACAACTCTCTGTAATGCTAGTTTCAAAGGATCTGATGTCCTCTTCCGGCTTCTGGACTCTAGGGCACCGTATGTACATGGTGCAAACATATAGTCAGTCAGGCAAGACATCCATGTGCATAAAATAAAAATTAAAGATTGTTTCAAAAAGGGGCTAGAGAGATGGCTCAGAGGTTAAGAGCACTGGCTATTCTTCCAGAGGCCCTGAGTTCAATTCCCAGCCACCACATGGTGGCTCATAACCATCTACAGTGAGATCTGGTGCTCTCTTCTGGCAAGCAGACACACATACAGGCAGAATGCTGTATAAATACAAAATAAATAATATAAAATTTTGTTTAAAAATACTGTACAAAAGGAATCTCCAAGAGATACAAGACCCACACAACGGAACTGACATTCCCAACATGTATGGGGGAGGGCTCAGACCTGCGTTGGTTTTAAATGACAATGGCTTCCACAGGCTCACGTTTGCATAGTCAGCCCCCATCAGTAAAGAGTTAAGAGGTGTGGCCTCGTAACTGGAAGAGGCCCATCGCTGGGGTGGAGCTTCAGGGTTTCACAGGTGACAGGCCCAGTTAGCGCTCTGCTACCTCTTGTGGGCCGAGAAGTGAGCTCTAAGCTGCTACTCTAGCACTATGGCTGCCTGCCCTCTGCCACGAGGGTCATGAAATCTAACCCTGTACGCCCCCAACACATCCTTCTATAAGTTGCCCTGGTCATGGTATCTTATCACAGCACCAGGAAAGTAACTGAGGTAGGAGATGAAGGTTGCTGAGCCAGTGGGTGATGGCTGCTCAGGGACGGGGCTAATTTCTTTGGTGTGCAGCCTCTGGTAAACTGCCCCTGCCTCTCACCCATGCTCATGTGTGTGAACTTATCTAAATTCAGTGGATCTGTCTGTCTGTCTGTCTGTCTCTCTCTCTCTCTCTCTCACACACACACACACACACACACACCATGAAAATGGAGGGGGCCTTGGGAGGAAGAGGCATAGTTGGAGAGAGGAGTGAGGGGATAATGGAGGGTGACAATAATTACCATTCATTATTTACATAAATGAAAGTCAAAGAATAAGAAAAATTAAAAATCTCTAAACTACATAAGATATTATATATATATATATATATATCACATATACACACATGAAACATGAATGAACTGTGTGTTTAGACCTCATTCCTATCCTCATTATATTTATACAAATATCACAAATTTCTGGGGGGGAACATTCTGACATGCAGAATACTTCCAGTGCCAAGTACTCTAGGTAGAAGCACACAACTGTAGCTCTGCTACACACAGACACCTACATCTGTGACAGGCCAACATGATGGCTTTAAACCCATTAATAGCCAAGTCAGCTTTCTTCTGTACAGGTATGGCCTACGAACTCTGAAGACTGCAAGTTCTAGGATTCCCTAATCAGGGTTAGGCCAAGTAGGTCACATACACACATACACACACACACACAGGACACACAGAGGACACACAGGGGTGTGTATGTGTGTTCATTAAGATGTTTCTTGACTTAGATGGCAATATTTACTTATTTAGAGATATTCCAAGTATTCATGTAGCTTAGGCTGGCTTGCTACTGTCTTGTAGCTAAGGATGATCTTGAACACCTGATGTCCTGTCTGTATCTCCCAAATGCCAGGAACACAGGCTTTAAGTGAGTGGCCCACATGCTAGGGTAGCAGATAACGTACTCGTTTCAGAAAAACTTGGTACCTTTGGTGCATTCTTAACTGTTTAAATAAAGGGAACATAAATTTGGAGGCCAATCATATTAGTTACATCTTATTTTTCAGAGGAATTTGGGGATAGGGTCCAGAAATAAAAGCAAGCTCAGTGGCAGAGCACTTACTTGCCTTACATGAGAGGCCTTGGGCCCAATCTCATCATTGAGAAAACAATAACACAAAAGCAACACACACATAAAATAGAACTCATGTTGATGTCTGTTAAATATAAACCACGTTATACAGGGAGTTGTTAGTACTCTGTGCTTATCAATACTCAAACTATTTTGAGTTGATAAAATTAAGCTGGATAGATGGATCAGTTTAGGGAAGATTGTGGAGTAAATTTAATACTACTTAGCTTGTTTTATTCCAATTATTTTTTATGACTTTCATTCTATGTAAAAGATAAAGTTAATGATGCAAACTGAGTCAAACCTCCAAGTTTACTAACTCTTTTAGGAGAAGGGAGGATGATTCATAAAACATATCTGTTATTCAACTATTAAATTTTAAATTATGTCACTAATTTACCTTTCTTCACTTTCTGTTAGTACAATCACAGAGCAACCAATAATATGCACTCTGAAATATCTTGCATTTTGAAATTTTCTAGGATTATCTGACTGCATTTTTCTCAGCGGCTATTGGTTTTTAATAATTTATTTATCTTTTTTTTTTAGTTTTTGGAGACAGGGTCTGGTCTCTCTATGTCGCTCTGACTGTCCTGGAACTCACTATGTAGACTAAGCTGGCCACAAACTTATGAGAGCCACCTGCCTCTTCCAGTGCTGGTTTTGAAGGTATGAGCCACCACACCCAACCACCTACTGGCTTTTTCAATCTGGGTTCTGATTCTTCCACAAGACAATTCTTGGACATTAAAGCTAGTATTTTTTTTAACCTTTCTCAAAATTCAATAAGATCTAAGATAAGATGAAATACAAACCAAATTATGCAAAGATAAATGGTTATTAGACCTAACACTGACTTGACTGAATATTGCATAAAGTATTGCTGCTCCGGGTTTCAAAGGCTTGTGCCCAAGGCTTCAACCTGGAAGGCTATGAGATGGGGCTTAGAGAAATCTTATTCTGAGTGCTTATTATCAGGATAGGAGATGACTGATCATATATATGTATCTGTACACATACCTATATATATGAATGCATACACACATATGTATGTATATGCATATACATATTTTAAATATATCAATTTTTACTCATTTTACATTGGAGTAAAAAAAAAAAAGTAGGATTTGACAAGAAGTGGCAAGAGTGGAAAAAATATTGCAATATACAAAACTAGGAAATGTAGAGTCCTAGTGTGATCTCAAATTCCAGCTGATGGACTAAGAGGTGTTTTGAGTTGGCTCCTCACTGACCAAACCGCGGGTATCACAACGCGATATATCGGTTTACAGCTCCTCTGTGGTACCTTCTGGTGATCCAGAAATGATTAGTTTATGCAAAAGAGCTGTAACCCCGGAAACCAGATGTCGGATCACTTCAGCAATTATCTCTGAGCATATCGCCGAGCTGACACATCTACTCAGGTACCGGAACCTAAAAATCTGGAGTGCACTAGGAAACGAAAGCTCAAATCGGCTTTGCCCAACCCGCTCGCTCAGGGGATCGACAGACCGAGGGCCTCACGCACCTTTGACAAATAAAAGGTCTACCACACACCTGCAACCCACATGATCACGGTTGGCTACGGGTTTCCTGCAACGCCCTGAACTCCTCTTTCCAACATAAGACACCTCCTTGGCAGGGGTAAGCGCTTTGGCTCTGTGGATGGGGCCGCGAACCAGGGAGCCCTTTCAAGAAATCGCTGAACATTCTCGCGAAGATCCGCAGTAGACTAGCTAAAAGACCCGAAAGGCGATGAGGCCAAGTCCGTGGAGCGCCGAGCTCTGTCAGTCAAGGGGCTGAAGTTTATTCGCAGCCAGGCGCTTCAACTGCTAGACAGCACCGTGCCAGGCGCGGCTCGCTCACCCACCCTGCGCAGCTCTCCGCACCAACTCCGGGACAGCGCGCAGCTAGGGCTCCCGGGGCCGACGGGCGCTCGCCAGAAGTTCCACCTACCGCACACGAACTTGACGCCCCTGTGTCCTACAGCAACCCCGGCACTCACCGGAACCTGGTTGACGCCTTGTCCTTTGGAAGCGATCAGGAGGATTTCCCTGAAGTCCATGTCTGGCCCAAGAGAGAAGCCCGGCGGGGCCGGCGGCTCCGGGCGCGGCGGGTGCCGGTCTCGCCGCCGAGCCTGGCTCTTCTGACTGGCTTGCCTTGGTGGGCCCTCTCCCGCCGCCCCTCGACGGGGCACTTCCGGCGCCTCCTAATGCCGTGGGCCGCCCCGCGCCGCCGCGGAACACAGCATAGATGCGCGCATATACATAGGTATAGATGTCCACACACTCACGCTCAGCGCCGCCACAGTGCTCGCGAGGATTTGCGCAACTTCCGCTTTCGGGGGCACAAGTAAAGGCGTACGTGGCTCTAGGCGTTGGCTCGGGTGGGCGGGACTGAGGCGCTGCCGGCCAATCAGGTGTAAGATGGCAGTTGGGGGTGTGGCCAGCGGGGGAGCACGGCCAGTCTGAGGAGCTCCCGGGCGCAGGGTTTTCCCTGCCTCAAGGTCGCGCTGCGACAGCCGGTTGGGAGAGGAGAGGAGGGATGGACCCCCTTCCAGGTTCGGGCTCTGCAGGCGTCACGCGTGGGTGTGCGGATCCCAAATGGCGACGTGCCAACAGCTGGCCCGACCGGCCTGGAGCAGGGGATTTCGGTTGCGAGTCTCGGCGCCCGGAAGCTACGCATGCGCACACGTTTCCTGCTCGTCGCCTGGTCCTCGGAGGCGCCCACGGCTTTTTTTTAAAAGCCTAGGGAATGAGCGGAGACTTCAGTCACGAACCGAGCAGGGCTTGACTCCGAGGCACTGCAGAATATACGTGCATTCACTGGGAGTCTAGCTTGGCTCTCACTTGAGTTACCTCGAGTTTGCAGGCCTTTCGGCCCAATAAAGCGCACGTGAATACCTGGATGGGGGGTGGAGATGGACGACCGATCTGGACTGTGAGGGTGGCTACATTGTTTACTAATTATTGTACAGTTTGAAGGGGTGAGTGTATCCTATAGGCCTTATTCTGTGAACAGATTTGACTGCCCTATGGGAGTGGCTCCACGTCAGGCTGGTTAAGAGACCAAGAGGAAGCCTTCCTTCACCCTAGATTTTTTTTTTTTCACTATAGTGTTTTTCTTTGTAGACCTAAATGTTCTAGAATTTGCTCTGTATAGACCAGGCTGGCTTTGAATTCGCAGAGATCCACATACCTCTGCCTTAAGATTAAAGCCTGTGCCATCACTGCCTGGCAGAATTGAGGGGCAGACAAAGTGACAAATCAGAGAAAGATGTGACAGAATGAGTCAAAAATAGGATAGCCCAGCTCTCATGAGAAGAGGACGGGAAAGGGCAGGCAGGGAGAGAGGAGGAGTTTTATACTGAGAGTTTCTTCTGGGACAGTTTTACAGAGACAGGTTGCAGAGGGAACAAACTAGACACAGGTGAAGACAGGACGAGCCAGAGAATGAGAAGGAGCTGGAATAAGTTTGAGGCCAGGCAGTGATTCAGCCAGAAGCATGAGAAGCCAGTTAGAATCGGTCATCTTGGAGGGGAGTTTAGGCCAAACAGCTGTATTGAGCCTGTAAACAGGAGTTCAGAAAGGCTTGGAAATGGGTTTCATCCCCTCATCTGAGGAAATAAAAGACATTTACTAGTTTTAAATGGAAAGTCCAAGAATCTAGCAGTAGCTCAATCCCACAAGGCTGGGCACCTCAGCTTGTCCTCTGTATATTTGCTGGAATCCTGACATAGACTCCAGTACCAGTGAAGGAATGGATGTGTTAGCAAGGCAAGGGCAAGCAGAATTTAAAATATTTTTTTCCACTTCATTATAAACTCCCAGAAGAAAGTGTAATCCAGATTAAAGGTGTGTCTTCTGCCTCAAGATCTGGATCATTGGTGTGTCTTTCTACTTCAAAGGTCCCAAATAGAAGGGGATCCACCCACTTCAAACCAAGCAGAAAATCTCTCATTGGTGTGCCCTCCATTTCTGATTGTAGTTCATTCCAGATGTGTCAAGTTGATAACCAAGAATAGCCATCACAGCCAGTATGTCTGTGTACCACATGCATGGAGGCTAGAAAAGGGCATCCAGTCCTCTGGAATTGGAGTTAGATACAGCTGTGTGAGCTACCATGTGAGTACTGGGATCCAACCTGCGTCCTTTGGAAGAGCAACAAGTGCTCTTAACCACCGAGCCGCCTCTCCAGTCCCTTTATTAAGGTCTGACAGCTGTTAGTGTTTTCTTTCACAGTTTGTAGTTAGATACTTAACACATGTTCTTTGCTTTTTTTTTTTCTTCCCTAATTACTAACTCTCAGGTTAAATGTGAAGATCTGTGAGAACGTGGACAAATTCCTTTACCTATTAATGTTGCCAGCTCCAAAGTGCTTCTCTGCATGCACAGTAGTGAATTGATAGATTTGATGTGCTCATGTGGGTTGTCTGATTTAATCTTTTTTTTTTTTTT